AAACCCGTCTCGGCACAAGCTCCCCTCGTGTGCCTCTAAAACAGGTTGGCTGGGAACGGCAACAGGCAGTATTCTCTGGGGGGGCTGTTGGGTTGGTTGGTTGCATGGACGCACCTCGCTCGCACCTTGGACTGCCTGTTGGCTTTGACTTGGTGGCAGTCGAGAGTTGCTGAGATCTGGTCTCGGGATTGTTTGGAGTGCATTTAGGCCTGGCAAAGGACTGGTACCCAAAATGCTGCTGGGTGAGTTTAAGGTCGACTTTGGGTGGGATTGGGTTGGCTTGGGGATAAACTTGTGGTAGGTGTCCGGCCGGTTTAAGCAGTGGCTTTAGGGGTTCAGCAGTTTTGGCCTAGTTTTGGTAGTTGGGGCAACGCCCCAACTGATCCCAAACCAGCGCAACAGTCACACAACCACACCCTAAAGCAACCCTAATTTCACTGCAAAAGCAAGCCGCGCTCCAAGCGCAAATCAGCTCCAAGCCAACCCAAACCGAACCAAAGTCAACCCAAAAAACAACAGCCTGGCATCAGCCCTTTGCCAAGCCTAAATGGACCCCACACAGAACTGAGACCCGCTCGCATTCGGATCCCAGAAAGCCAAACTCATACCAGCCCCGCGCAACTCTCGACTGCCACCAAGTCAAAGCCAACAGGTGGGGATAAGGCCAACCAGCCAACTAACCAAACCAACACAAACCAACACAAACCAACCAGCCACCCGAACAAGGTTAGGCCCTTGCTGGCGGCTACCACAAAAACAGAACACACACACACCGGTTTCCCACGGGCGTTTAGTCCCCAAAAACCGACAAGGACCATGAGCGTGTCCTATCAGGGACCCCCTTGTTGCATGGTGTTTGGGGGGAATCCCAAATGAAACGCCCACTGATTTCGGAACCACCACACTTGATTTGATGGTGCAGGGGAATCTGAAAGGACACCATCCATTCTCACCCTCCAGTGTCGATCTTGGAACCCCTGTTTGCGCTCATTTGTTTAAGGAAGTATCAATTGAACATATCCCAAATCCTAAGAAAGAAACACAAGATCTAGAAAAGAAAGGCCCATATCACAGTGGGTCGCCTGTCAAGCATCCACAGAAACAGGTGACTTATCATGTCATAGTGGCTGCCTGAATTCATGCAATGGAGTGGCACCTGAACCTCAAATACTCCGTGCAGAGTTTTGGCATTTTCTGAGAGGAGTATAAAATTCACTCTCCTGAGATTCCCGGATTAGGCACGCCTTCCGCCGCGAAACTGCGGAGGAAGATTTCAAGCAGTGATCAGATTCCTTGAAAGACCTGTGAACGGCAGTAAACATGTTGAAACACAGCGGCATGTCCCTTTAAGGGATCAGCACGCCAAACATCCTCCCACTCACTCAGCATTCGCCTTCTTGCTGGGTGTCCGCTGTGTTGCAGCAGTTGTTGCTGGAAGGTCACTCAAGGAGCACTCCGCCTGGCCAGCGATTCTTAGCCTTTGCTTAGGGCAATTTGCCCCATGGCCAAAGGCGAAGCCTTCCTCGCCGCCAGTGCTGCGGCAATCTGTGAAAATGAAAGATCTGTGCAAATAGGTGCTCTCTTTGGCGTCGAATCTGTATCAGGACGGCTGGAATTCTGAGATATGTTTGTTTTTCGGCCCTTGCTTGGGTCGCTCAGCGCAGGCCGCATCAGTATCAACAAGCCGAGAGGGCCTGGTTTGGTTTAGCGGGGACTCCACAAGAATCTGCCGCCTCAAGTAGGTTTGTTGGTGAATGAAGCGCGCTTGCTCAGCGCATGCTCTGAAAAGGCTTGATTGCCGGTCAGCTTCTGGCTGATCTTGGTTCCAAGACAGCTTGCCGAGGGTCGCCAAAGACTCACGAAGGGCCAGTGTATTCGATCATCTTACACAGGCAGGTAGTTTAACATGCCCGGTGTATGGTCGATGGATATTTGGAATGGATAATGGGAACTCCAAACATGTCCACACACATACACAAATGCCTCTCCCATGCCGAATGCGGGAATGGCATGTTTTTGCCCTGGCTGACATGGCGGGATTGAGTTTGATGATTGAGTTGGATGAATCATAAGATGCCAGACAAGGCATTCTCAGTTGGGCGCCAGAGGTCCCTTTACGCCTAACACCACAGCCCTAGAAACCCAGTGTCCAGGCGTCCAGAACTTGCCATAAGGGACCTTTAAACCTTTCAATTTTAGGCCACGCCCGTGCCCATTCCGCCGGACATGCCTTTGTCCAGTGCGGGATGATGGTGGAATCTTTGGACCTTCCCAGCAGCGGCCTAGCCACAATGATACGCAAGTCATAACGCTACGTTCAACACATTAAGCTGCAGAAGTTATTTGCTACATTGTTAATTGGTCAGGTGTTCCTACCTCGTTCCCCAACCCTCCGTTTAGACCCATTGACCTCGATTGTTCACCACCTGTATATCATGTCCCCTCATCGGTTGTTCGTATTCGTCAGGTGTTCGTACCTCGTTCTGCACCTGGTTCAGTGGTTCAGTACGTTCCCCAAACACCCGGCCTTGACCGTAGTCTTCTGTAGATACAAGCAGTCGCTCCTATCTTAACAATCCCAGAGGATGCTTTTGATAACTTTAGCCTGGAGGAGTTGCTGGCACCTGCAGGTCCCAAGAAGCAGGCTTGCGGCTCAGCTGTTGCGTGATATGCTCAGTCCCCAGTGTCGGAGCACCCTTCTTTTGGCCGTATTCGAAGCGTCTGGGCCGCTGCCAAGGGTAAGCCAATGGAACGCTTGGAGATGAGCGGACGAGACCCTTTGTTCGCCACAGGGGCGCGAGAAAATTGGCTAGGTCCCCTGATTGGGTAGGTTTTGGGTAGGTTTAGGCCCGGCTCGCCTCGAGGCCAAACAAACAAATCAAACGTATGGCCAGTAGCCCTGGGAGGCGGGGCTTGGCCGAACATGTGGACTGGAGCTGGGATTGATCTGTTTTACCATGATTTGGGCAAAGGAACCTGTTCCCAGTTCGAGAATGCTAAAACAATGACCTCTTGCAACCTGCGTTGCAACCCTTGCAACCATTTGCTACGCACCTGGACGGATGAACATATGCTCCACGGACCATCATTTTAGGCAATCTACGACCAACCGACGCAAAGATCCATGCGGCCCAGCAGCATAAAGGAGGCCTCGACCCAGTCCTCTGCCCTGCAGGGGCAGAATCGCACCTCGCGCTGCCAAAAAATGGTCGCCGTCTTCTGGTGGGCGATTGTTCAGTCTTGAACACCATCTCCCACTTTAGGAGACACGCAAATGCTAAGCCTTTCCGTGTTCCTGGTCGTTTTAGCCAGCGACGCACTGAACATGTCCGTCACTTTGCGATGCTCGAAAACATGAACATGGGGGTGGGCGCTGTCATGCTGGCCCTTTTGAGGTTCTGACCTACTCAGGCGGCACAGCACTTCCCTGAAGCCCGATAAACCCGCCTCTGGGTAGAAGGCGATTTGAATCCAGGGCGGTGAACGGGGCAGGTCCTGCGCGAGAATTCAACGCCTTTTGGGAATGGACCCGGAGAAAGTGACGGTTGTTCTTTCCAAGAAAATTTGTCAGGTTCCAATAGGATCATGTGAAGGTGATCGGAAGCAAGCGATGTACGTGTGACACAAATTGGAATGTCGTAGATTGTCATGATCTACAACAGTGATGGCAGCCAGAAGTTGCCATGGAACCATGTAGCCAGTAGCCCAGGGTTCAAACGTACTTTGTCAACTGCGCGCTGTCTGCATTTTCCCTTGGCAGGCTAACATGTTCTGTCTGCGGTGAGACAAGCTGCGAAATTCGCCGCCATCTGAACACTAACCACAAACTCAAGTGAGGTGTCAGCCTCAAACTTTCAACGCGATCGATTTTTGCACCGAAACCAAACTCTGGCGGCTCAAGTCTCACGAGAGTGCAGGCGCTGGTGGCGCTGGTGGCGCCTGGCACTCTCTCAAACGCTAACAAGCGAACCGTACGCAAACAGAATGTTGAACCTGGCAAATGAGGATTCTGGATCCATGTCAGTATTAACATTCTCGAAAGAGGATGTTTATTTTGCCATGCCTCAACAAGCCGCCGGGGGAGGCCCATGATCTGCTCAGCGCCCACCTGAAAAGCCCGGCTGTCGACCCCGAATTTCAGAACTGGTGGCTTAGGAAGGTTCATTCCGAGTGGAGGAAGTCGTAACCCTACATCTCTCTTCGGCACGAAAGCCGACGCAAATGCCAAGAGGGATTCCATCCCCAAACGGAATGCGCCAAACTGAAAACTGAAGAGACAGTGTTGGCGGCAATTCGAACCTGGAAACTGTTGAGACATTCAGAATGCATTAGGACAATTTCAGACCAAGTTGCCCGTGCCGGCGGATGCTCCGAATGCGTGGGAAAAGAACGCAAGGGAAAAAACTTCTTGGTGCTGCACATATTGGAATATGACGGAATATGTGCTATCCAGAGAATCCGGACTGGGCAAGCTCCCACCTCGAAGACCTCGTCCTGGTCCGTATCGTCCTGAGCAAGCGGCCAAAGGAATTTGGATTGCTGAGCTGAGGCATGGGGTGAGGAATCACAGAAAACATATTAGGCATCAAAAACTGCTTTCTAACAATCAAGAAACAACTTAGTAGGCCAATAATAAGCATTAAAACACGTACTAACACCATATTGTTGCAGCACAGAGTGAAACACCTGGAAATCGCGTGAAAGAGTGAAACCTCACCACAAATCCAATGTGAACCCACCCCAAGCCAACCACCAAGAAACCCACCCCAAACAAACCCTACCTAGGGCTTCAAAAACCTGTAAAAATGTCGTACCCTGACTAAAACATTGTGTTTTTCTCGATTTGTCTGAAAACATTGTGTTTTCAGGAAAAGGAAAAACCATCGTGTTTTTAATAAACCCTCAAAAAGTGATTTCTGAGGCCAAACACTCATTTGAGCATTGTTTTTTTGGAGGTTCAAGGCTTATACAGAGGCTACGCGGTCGCGGATGCTTGTTCCACAAACATCTCTGACGTTTGCGCGCGCGTGTAGTTGAATCAAGTTGAGTGCATGCGAAAGGGGGCGATGAAAGGCGGCAAGAGAGACATTGAGCTTCAGCACTAGGCAACATGGCTGGGCTTCAAAGGGGCAGAGCATGGAAGTTGGACGGCGGTGGCTTCGCGGAGGCTTCACGGTTGCTTCGCAGACGCTTCGCGAAACGATCCAGCGCAAACCGGGCCTGAATCGCATGGTGCTCTTCCGGTCGTCTTCCTGTCGTCTTCCCATCATCTTCCGGCAGACTGACTGAAATCTTCCTGTACGTCTTGTCTTAGCCTTCTGGCAGCCATCTGAAAATGACTCTAAACATCAACCTTTGGCGTGCTACTGCCATACACACACCAACCACGAAGTGGCTTCGCAAAGTGGCTTCGCCTGTGTCAATGTTACCGGGCGCGAATTGGCTTCGCAGGGCTTCGCGGCACGCAACGTATCACACAAGTGGCTTCGCGGACTTTTTGGGAGTTCCCCACGAAGCTAAAATCCATCATCTGAGAAAAATAACGCTGCTCAAGGGTCAAAGGCAAGGGTCGGGAGTGGAATTCACACAGGCATCACCCATTAATTTCAATTGAGGGGCAGGGCTTTTAAGGCCCACATTGATGAGCCTGACAGCCAGGGTGCGCAGCTGGCTTCAGTCTTTTATTACCTTCAACGCAACAGGCACCTGAAGACAGACGCCAGGTCATACCGAAACCAGTTTGAAGGGGGTGCTGGAATCCCAAAGCTCCTTTTGGTGCAAAAACAAGACCGGTGACACTTTTGGAGATTGTTCCCCAGATAGCTGAAAGCTATAGGGGTTCTAACTTCTAATAAAGAGGGGGAAGTGATTTGCAAGATTGGGCTGGTGCTAAGGGGCGTGCAGTTTGGGGTGCTGGTTTTGCGGATTCGGGTGCTGTTTGAGGTGCTGATGGCAGTGCGGGCGCATCTTTTCAAGATTAACGGTGGGGTGCTAGGGGGCATGCAGTTTGGGGGTGCTGGTGCTGGCGGTGTTTTGGGATGCTGTTTGGGGAGCTGTTTGAGGTGCTGGTGACGGTGCAGGCGCAATTTGCGATATTGACGCCCGGGCGCTATCGGGCATGCAGGTGACGGTGCAGGCACATTTTTGCATCTTGACGGTAGGGTGACAGGCATGCAGCTTGGGGTGCTGGTGCAGGTGGCGTTTTGGGATGCTGTTTGGTTTGGGGGGGTGCTGTTTGGGGCGCTCTTAGGGTGACGGTGCAGGCGCATGTTTTGCGAGATTGACGGCAGGGTGCAGGGGGCATGCAGTTTGGGGCGCTGCTGCAGGTGCTGTTTTGGGATGCTGTTTGGGGGGTGCTAGTGATGGCGCGGGTGCTCGATTGACGGCCGGGTGCTGTTTTGTTTGGGACGCTCTTCGGGGGGTGCTGTTGGAGGTGCTGGTGTGCAATCATTGCTATCTGGGGTCTATGCTGGTGTAATTTGTTTTTAAATGTTTTTCGTTGTTTTTTTGGAAAATGGGGCGGGATCCTGGCGGCTAACCCGTAGAAACCCGTAGAAAACCAGTAGAAAACCCGCAGCCCCAACCAAAAACATTGTCGTACAGTAGCTAAACCGTGGAAAACCCGTAGTAAAGCGTGGCAAACCGTGGAATCAGACCCGGATGCGCTAATTCGAGAATGTTGATGGAAAACAACGAAGTTGCGGGCATAAGAAAGGTCTTTTGCTTGAGCTTGCGCGCTGTTCGAAGCCAGCACGCCCTCATCATGGCATTGCTGCTTGACAAGTGTTATAAAACTGTGTGGATCTTGTGAAATTTAGGTCCTGGGCCTCCTTCTTTCAGATTGGAGTTGCGAATGACGAGTGGCGAATGCGAAGCTGATTTCGTTATGAGCGCAAAAGGGAGGAGGGCTATGGGAAATTCTGAGGTTGAGATGATGCTTTTGTGAGCGGATGATGAGTTGAAGGAATGTGTGGGAAAATGCTTGAGATCGAAAATAGCGGTGTTTTCCGAAAACACTGTGTTTTTCCCAAAAAGCATCGTGTTTTTGTAGGTATGACAAAGAAACAACAACAAATGCAGACTGCCCGACGTGTGACTTTGGTAGAGCGGTTTCCAGGAGCTTTGCTGTATTGCAGCAGCATTGTGCCCAACAAGTGATTTCTTGACGCCTAAGAAAGTGTGTGCCTGATTTGCAGAAACATGTTTTCTTGGCGCAGCAGCAGTCGGTAAGAACTTCCATTCCCTCCATTCCTTCCATTCCCTCCATTTCTTCCATTCCCTCCATTCCCTCCGGTCCTTCCATTCCTTCCATTCCTTCCATTCCTTCCTTACATTCCGTCCATCCATTCCATTCCATTCCATTCCATTCCATTCCATTCCATTCCATTCCATTCCATTCCATTCCATTCCATTCCATTCCATTCCATTCCATTCCGTCCATTCATTCCTTCCGTTCCTTCATTCCTTCCTTCCTTCCTTCCTTCCTTCCTTCCTTCCTTCCTGCCTTCCTTCCACTCCTTCCATTCCTTCCATTCCTTCCATTCCTACCATTCCTTCCATTCCTTCCATTCCTTCCATTCCATTCCTTCCATTCCTTCCATTCCGTCCATTCCTTCCATTCCGTCCATTCCATTCCATTCCATTCTTTCCTCCCTCCCTCCCTCCCTCCCTCCCTCCCTTCTTTCCTTCCTTCCTTCCTTCCTGCCTGCCTGCCTGCCTGCCTGCCTTCCTTCCTTCCTGCCTTCCTTCCTTCCTTTTATATTCCTTTATATTCCCTTTTTATTCCTTTTTTATCCCTTCCTTCCTTCCTTCCTTCCTTCCTTCCTTCCTTCCTTCCTTCCTTCCTTCCTTCCTTCCTTCCTTCCTTCCTTCCTTCCTTCTTCGCAGTTGCTTTGGGCATGGACATAAAGTCGACCTTGACATGCGTCCGCTTTTTCGCAAGCGTTACATCTATTCTTAGGGCGGGCATTCTTAGAGAGAGCTACCTCATATAGTTCCAGTACTGCGGAAGTTCTTGTTGAACTTCCTTAAGGGAAGGCAAACGAAAGCTAGCGTCCGCGCAAAGGGCAGCATCAGCTCACTTTGACAGTTTGAGAGGATATACAGGGGAGGAACTTCACGAGAAGAAGGACCAGCGGCAAAAGCTCTCGACCTGCCCTGCATCCTCTGGGAGAAAAGCGATGTTCAAAAACGCGCAAAACATACGGCAGAGTGCAATCAAAGTAACTGTTCAGAGCGGGAAACAGAATGGAAAGAGATGGAAAGAGCAGAGCGAAGGGCGGAGAGACAAGCGGGCAGAAGAGCGGAGCAAAGATTCCAGAAAAAAAGAAGAGCAAAGAGAAGAGGGGAACGTAGAGCAAGAAGAGCCGGGAGCAGAGCGCAGAGCGGAGCGAAGAAAGTGCGGAGACAAGAGGAAGGCAAGGAGTGGGCAGAGGCCAGGCAGCCTTGCAGGCGGTCCAAGGGGTGGTCGATCCTGGGGGGGGCGCGTTGAAGCGCAATTTGGAGGCGGCCAAACGGGTAAAATTATTTTGAAAAGCCATTGCAGTGAGCGCGCAAAAATTGATATGTCACAGAGTTGTGGGATTCACTGGCGCCAGCACATGCAAAAGGATGGTTTGTGGACTTCCTCAAGTGAAACAAGCTTGCAAACTTTCTCTGCCAAGGCGCCCACACCACCACGATGCCTGGCCCTTCGCCGTTGCACTTCGTAAGCTGCAGGATGGTGCCCTCGGAGCCGGCATAGACCTGCGAAGGCTGTGCTCAGATTGGATAACACATCTGCCGGAGTTCAAGAGGGAACCAAGCAGAACCAGGCAAACAACAGGCAGGTCACAGTATGCTTTGACACACAAGGCTGGAACTTGCTCAGAAGAATTATGCACCCACAACTACAGCAAGATATTATATGGATTCCCCTCGCGGCCTTCTCTGCGGAGCCGCTGGATGAGTCTCTGGATGATGTCTCAAACAGTCTAAGCTGATAGCCTGGCAAGCACGAGTGGCACATCTACGGATCTGTCTTGGACACAGAGTCAGTTCGTTGTCTTATTAGGTATCATTTCTTCTATCCCAAGCGTTTCGCTCCAGGTCAACAAAGGTCGTTTGGTAGATCGAACGATTCGGTAAATCCTGCATGAACTGTGTGTCACTCTGACTTTTGCGCGAAATTCGAAAGGCCCTCTGTTCGCGCGCAGGACTCTGAAAGCAACAATCGCTGCGTTCACGCTGCCCTCGCACGGTGATCCGGATGTCTGCGTCTGTCTGGATAACATTCCTTTGGTCTGGATCGGGGGTTTGGATCGCCTCGGGGGGTTGGCCCTTAATCCGAAGCCATATGCTCATGCTGTGACGCGCACGAGACTCACACAGAGCGACGCCCAATTGACAGACCGTCGTCTCAGAGCGGCAAGCTACTGACCAAAACCATAGTTGGAGCACTTGTCTTATACTGTAGCTCACCCATGGAACCAAAATTATAACCTCACCAGCAAACAATCGTGCAAGCACTGGCCAGCCAACCAACCAAGCAGGCAAGCAAACAAAAACAAAACAATTGCATGCGCATTATCATTCTCACGCAGCGCGTAGCTGTGTGCGCTTGTGTGTGTGTGTGCGCTTGTGTGTGCGGCTGTGCGTTTTCGAGTGTGCGTGAACGTGCATCCATGCGGTGTGCGGCGTTTTGCGCGTGGGTGTGTCTGTGTCTCTGCGTGTCTGTGTGTCTGTGTGTGTCTGTGTATCTGTGTGTCTGTGTGTCTGTGTGTCTGTATGCCTGTGTGTGTGCGCGTGTTCGTTCGTGCGTGCGCGTGTCTATGTCTGTGTCTGTGTCTGCGGTTGCGCCTGTGTCTGTGTCTGTGTGTGTGTGTGCGTCTGTGTCTCTCTGCGTGTCTCCGCATGTGTGTATGTGTCTGTGTGTGTGTGTGCGCGTTTGTGTGTATGTGTGTGCGTGTGCGTGTGCGTGTGCGTGGGCGTGGGCGTGTGCGTGTGCGTGTGCGTGTGTGGG